AGATCACTTCGTGTAGTGATTCTTTCCATTTGAATAAAGAACAAAGAAAATTCCTGAATGATAGAAGTTGTATTTACAGTATACTCACATACAATCAAATTTTTCTACCAAGAAGTGTGGGTAAATGTTGGTAAATGGCTACATTACTTTCAAGCTGACTTAAACGACATGACATAGTCAATATTGTATTGAGAGTGCCACACATGAGGAAATTAGCCATTAATGCTAATGAGCTCTTCTTTGCCCTTGCAGTCGCTTAATTACTAGCTGATATCAAATATTCATAAGTATCTGCATTACAATGTCCAGTCACAATTGTCTACAATTGTCTCGAGTTCTCAAAACATGGTCTTCCCCTGGGTTACGTTGAGAAGGCTGATCAGTCCCAGCAGAGGCAGTTCAGGGTTGCCACACACCACAACAAAAAAACATTCTTGACTTTTCACTGACTGTAAAGCAATTTTCACTGAGCGTGCAGGATGATGATTCATGAATCCATGAATCCCTGACTTTTCCCTGACCATGGGATCCCTGAGTTCCAGGCGAGGGGTTGAGGGGGCTGCAACCCCCCCCCCCCTGCCCTTTTGAGCAGCATTTTTTTTTATATGTTTGACTTATCATAAAAATAATAGAATGAAATAGTTTTGTATGTAGTTTGTTTCACTTCCACCAATAGACTGATAATCAAGTTAGGAAAAGATAACATTTTTTCAACTACATTGTAATTCTAATTATTTTTGTTTTTCTGGTCGATAAAAGGGAAACTCCATATTTGTGACCGTTCACAGGAAAACATACTTTAACGCTTATTCGTTAGATGGACAAAGCCGTTAACTATCTGTAAGTTACCTGTTAGACAATTTTCTCATAAACGTTAGAGGCGTTAACCTAACCGTTAGCAGTAAAAGTCAAAACGTTAGAGGGGAGAGTGCAAGCATTAGCCATGAGCTTGTATCTGGTAGCCGTTAACATCATACCATTAGAATGAAAAGCCTAAAATTGCAGAACCGTCAGAAAAAATTAGCATCCGTTAAACGGTAATGCAACTGTTTGCTATCCATTAGAATGGCCCAGCAAAGGTTATAAGTAAAGAAATCCGTGTATTGCAAGAAGTGAGCTATGTCTCGGCCTGAAGTCGACTTCATAAACTACAGTGCATGATAATGGGGTATTAATATTAAAGCAAGCAATGTAATTGAAGAGGGAATAAGTTAATTACGGTGTAATTCATTGCAAAAAGCAATAGCCAAATTGCAGCGGGATTTTTGTGTCACTAGTTTGATATGCTTTGATGTATGACTAAGGACTTCTACTGAAAATGACAAAACGCTTGTACGTAGAACTTTGAAGTCATCCACATTCAGTATGAAATTTGCATTAAGTTGTTTACAGTGTAATTCAAGAGACTACTTTAGGCTCAAAACTTTTTAATTTGGGTGGAATGTTTACAGTGTAGTTTGTTCCAAAAAGCAATTGCAGTGGGATGTTTTTATGACTATTTTGATACGCTGGGATGCACGACTGAGGACTTCTGCCGAAGATGACAAAAATGTTCGTAGTGAACTTTGGGGTTGTCCACATTGAGTATGAAATTTGCATAAAGTTGTTTACAGTGTAATTCAAGAGACTGGTTTCAAAACTTTTTAATCTGGGGGAATGTTTTAACAACTATTTTGACCTGCTGTTGACTTTGACTATAAGAACCAACACTTTATCAATAAAGCAAGCTTTGTCACGTCAGGCTGTGACAAATGTAAAACTGACACGTCCAACGTGAACCATTGCGTTGCAACGCATTATGCTACAAAGTGATTATGGAATTCATGCTGATATATAACTTGTTAGTCATTGGACTTTATTCAGTGCCGCGGGCCCGTGTCTCGCAAATTTAGTGCTTGTTGTGAGTAGTGTTTCCGTTTCATGGCTATGAATGTAATTGGCATTAAATTTTTGTGGGGATATTGACCTTTTTCTGTAGCGATATATAAAACTGTTCTTTGGCTGTACAGTGTGCATGGTGCTAATTGCTAACGCTCAAGCAGATCAGATGCAAGTGTTAAGGCACTTTCACAGTTATCCGTTAGACTTTTTTCTCAGCCGTTAAATGGTTGCCGGTCGGTTTCATGAGCCATTAGGCAGGATTACTAAGCCATTGGACCATTAGGGCAAAGCATTAGAATGTTGTAATGAGCCGTTAGGTAAAACTTGCTAGCCGTTAGAACATTAGCACAAAGCGTTAGAACACTTTAAAAGGCCGTTAACTATCCGTTAGTTATCCGTTAGGTTTTAGCCATTTAATGGATAAGCGTTAAAGTATGTTTTCCTGTGAACTGAGTCACATTTTATATTACGCCTTCACACAGGTTTTTGAAGTTTCAGGAGTGCTTTAAATGGTGTTTAAGAGGGCAAAATCTGAAAAAAATCCAGGGCATCATGGCCCTGAACCCCACCAGAAGCTTGCACCTGCAGCACTTGCAATCCAAGCCGATGGCATCAAAAGTTATTAAGATGTACAACCCCTGTCCAGTTGGCGCCTTTAAAAATTTGGAAAAAAGTATTGTTGTAATTTAAGAAATTAATAATTTAAAAGAAATAGAAGTTGCTTTACATGTATGACAGGAATTTACTAGTATTGAAAAGGAAACTGACAAAAAATATCATACATCACTTACCAATTCAACTTGGTGAATAGACTCCACTTTTCAGGAGAAGTTTCTGTGAATGTTAACGTTTCATTCCATAACCCAGCTTTTCGAGAGGCCTCCTTCAGCATAAACTAATATTCAGGTAGACACAAATAGGATATGGGAAACAGCATTAAGTTGCTTCTACAATCTAAACTTTCAGTCCTAGACTGCCAAATCAATCTTGATGAGGTAGTATCTTTATGAAGTAATGAACAACCTATGTACAATCTCAGCTGGATTGTTCAGTATCTAATTTTAATAAGATATTTTTGTGATTAAATGAATTGAATCAAAACCGTAACAAATAAATAAAAGCTTAATTTGAAAGGGCCTACAAGAGGAAATTAACAGACATACCAGTGGTAAGCATATGATTTTCACACGGCCTCTAAGTTACCAAGTCACCATGAAGATTATAAATGACCTGAGACTACACTCTTTATTTGTTTTACAAGAATATTGTTTTTCTGACCGAGGCTGAATATTCTTATTTTTCTCCCAATTATAGGCTGAAAATATTCTTATGACTATTCTTGCATATGAGATTTCTGTGTTTGGATGGTAGGCTCATAAGAGTAATTTTGGAGCCAGCCTGCACGCATGAGAGCATCAAACATACAGCTAGTGCTGTTTTTGTAGCTTTTTGGCTAGTTTTGCCCTTTAGAGAAGGGAGGATTTTATTCAGTTTAGTTAAAAACACATAAACAAGCTAATTGGGCGAAATTGTTTTCACTTCAAAGACTATATTAACCTGCTCAAAATTTAAATATTTCCTTTGAAAAGCACAAATGACCAGCAACCCAAAGATTTAGTTGCTCAATACCCATTTCTGCTTGGACGTTGTCTATATGTAATATGTAAAGCCTAGTGTAAAAATAGGTCCGCAATGCGTACCTGTAGGCTTATGGCTACAATACCAGACAAAAAAGTTGGGACACAAAGCATGTTCCCCCCACCCCACTTGCAATGTTGATAATGAGGTGATTTTTTTCCCTTTATGTTGAGAAAAAATGTGACATTTTCCAACATTGTTTAGGAAGGATGAAGGATGCATGATCCAGCTCAACTGTCCCAACTACTTTTGTGTGGGATTGTAGTTGTATTCATTGGGATGAAGTATTGTAGTGTTACAAGTAGGCAATTAGAAGAAAGATAAAAGCACAATAATAAATGAGGTTTGTACTTGAGCCTGCTGTTTTAACTACCCAGCGCTTCCATTCAAATCGATTTATTCAACATTTTCTCCATTAATGTTATGGTTGTTAGTGTGCTATAGTGGAGAAGATATCTGCCTTGTGAGCGGGAGGCTGTGAGTTCAACTCCTAGTGAAACTGGAAGTTATTATTTTCTTTTTTACTCATTTTTTTTTTCGTTTTTCTCTTTTACTTATTTTTTCTTTACTTAAACATTTACTGAAAGGCAGTGTAGCCTTTGATGCACTGTGATGAATTAATGGCGGTATTTCCTCACAGTTAATTAGTTATTACAGGGTTGTGCAGCAGTGAGGATTCAGTCAGGGAATCAGAAGTTGGATGGAAGGGTTGGCAGTTCAAATCCCGGTGTGGGCAGTTTTTCTCCCCCTCCTCTTCCTTCTCCTCCTCCTCCTCCTCCTACTCCCCCTCCTCAAGTGAAACCCTCGCACATGACTTTTGGCAAAGTTTTGGTTAAAAACCACTGTCAAAGCTATCGATGGATCGAATTATACAACCACCTTTGTTGCATACCAAGTAGTCTTTAATTTGCTGACAATGCAACATGACTAGAACCAGCAAAGGCTATGCACTGCAAATGTAGCAATGGCCACCTTTACCCAAAAACAATCGTGCAAAATACTGGTACCCAGTCTACCACTCAGACTAGTCATGCTCCCAAAGCTCTGTCACATGACGTCACATCCTCAAACCCACAAGATTTTGCCAGCTTGTTGGGTTTACGCATGCGTAATGCGTAAGTCCACAAAAACGATAAGATATTTAAGAGTTTGTCATGAGTAGGGGCTATCAGAAAAATATTTAGAGTCCCTGATCTTCAAATCTATGACTTCACTCACATGCATGGTTGAATGTGTACTGGATTAGAGGGGGGAATCTTTGAATTATTTCTGAGTTGGATGGATAATTCTATTATTAAGTGACAGGGACAGGAAGCTTTTCAAAGCTGACTTTGGATTTTGTCCTATCTGCATTTAGACCCTCATTTATGTTAACTGATTGGGTTATTGATTGTGGTCTTGCTGCATGATAAATGTTTAACTGCCCATTGTTAAAACTGATAAAACTATTTTTAATCAATTATTTTTGTCTTACCTTACAGTTGTGGACGGAAATTTTGTCAATGACTGAATTAAAACCAGGGAACCCAGCAACAGCTCATAATTTCTTTGTTATCAACAACTGTGAAAGGTGGACTCATCTTAGACTTAATATCTATCCAGGTAAAGTTTTTTGGTTCTATTTCATTTTGTTCATGGGCTATTAGCCCATGAAATTAATGACCTTGAATTTGGCCACTGAGTTCAGGTTTTTCAGGGAAAATTCATGAACTATGAAATGAATGGCTGCATAAACCAACCACGTTATCACAGTCTTTGAAAGTATCTCTTTCAAGAAATTTGTGAATCCTGCAAAGTAAGTTATGCTACTTCCTGATTGAAAATAAAGCCAAGAAGCTTGTGCAGGATCTATGGACCATGCAAATATACTCTTGGAGATTTGAAGGAAAATATGCCATTTTTAACTTGTCAATTGGGATAGCAAGTTACAAGTAAATTGTGACCTTCCATGGGAAAACGTACATTAACGCTTTTCCATTTAACGGTTCTAAGCATTTGTTAGTCATTTGTCTACCGTTAAAACGGTTTAGAAAATTGTTAGAACTGTTAGAACGTCACTCTAGCCGTTTATAGCATTGGAAAAGTTGTTAAAAGCATTTTCGTCGTCCGTTAAAAGCATTAGTAAAAACCGTTCAAATTTTCCTTCAGTGGTGTTAAAAGATCTTGAAAGCGTTCGAAAAGTCGTTCAATTGAAATGTTGACTGACTGTTCAAGTTAAACGCTCAACTGGTGAAGTGTTGAATTAAATGTAAGACAATTGTGAGTAAGCTGTTTTTTATTCATGCAGCGTAGTTTACTAGTGCAGAGTGCACTATTGGGATGGTTTAGGGGGCTGCTGTTTGCTAAGGTACTAAGCGATAACACAATAAGGTGTAAACTTTAATGTTTGTTTAATTAAGTAATTTCAATTAATCAATTAGCTTTGCAGGAAGGGGACTGGGTGGGGTAACTATAGGTACCAGTGTGTATTATGCAAAATGCGACATGCTTACATTGCTTTCTTAGATAACTTGACAGAAATATATGTATGGTTTTGCAAATGTCATACTATCCTATATAATGTTGCTATACACTTCATGTAAGCCACACATAAAGGTCTCAGAGATCCATCAGCATTTAGTTGACAAGAAAGCAAATGACATGTTGAGGAACTAGCTTAACCACACAAGTATTAAGCTTAAAGATCAGATTGAAGAAACGAATAAATTGGACGAAAAATATGACGACCTTGAGCAATATTCTGGGTGTACCTGAAGGCGCGTACACATCAACCGACAAAGTTGTTATCGGTATTGGAGAAGCAATAAACGTCGATATCAAACCAGAAGAGATAGAAATATCACACAAACTCAAAAGAAAAACCACTGAACCCGTAATTGTCAAATTCGTGAACCACAAAGTAAAATCTCTTCTCCACAAAGCAAGAACCAAGCAGTTAAAAAAACGTGAAAACCTCTGATGTATTTCCAAGCTATGCTTTCGAGTCTCGAGAAGACCAGTGTATATTCATCAACGAGAATCTTACGAATTATCGAAGAGAGCTTTTCTGGAAAGCAAACAAGATGAAGAAAGATAACATGATTACCAGCGCTTGGACAATGGATGGAAAAATATTCGTAAAGACATCGCCAAGTGGAGCACTGGTAAGGATTTATAGTGTAGAGGACTTAGATGATCTTTAAACTGTATTCAAAGGACTGCTGAATAAAAGAAGGGACTATGGACTGGATTGCTGAGCGAAGGAACTCTCAAAATAGGTCTGTTTTTAGTGTAGAATGCACTATTGGGATGGTTTGGGGGGCTGCCTGTTGCTAAGGTACTAAGTCGCTAAGTACTAAGGTGTAAACTTTAATGTTTGTGTACATTAATTTCAATTAATTAATTAGCCTAGAGACAAGGAAATGGTGTGGGTGAGCTGGGAAAGGTACAAGTGTACCCTAAGTAAAAAGTGTTCTGCTGTATCTATGTCAGTTAGGAGTAAACATCGCAAAGCTATATTTTTGTTTCAAGTAACCCCTTGCTCTCCTTGTGGTACTATTCTCTTAAGAACAAAACCAATTTGCTCTAAATGCATACACAAATTAGTTAGCGTTCGTGTCTTCTATACATTAGGTGGAGGATACATTGCATACAGGATACCACACAAATGTTGAGTAGTTTTCCTTATGGTAGAACCCAACATGTAAGAGGCATGCGTTCTAGCATCTTAAGTGTTATATACTATGTTTCCACACGGTTTTTTATGTCATGTAATGTCAGGTACTAGGTAGCACCACTTGTCCCTTTTTAGTGCAAAAGTTAAACGTATCTTTTAGAATTACCCACAGGTCGGTTCAACAAATATCATCTGCTGTTTTCAAACTACAATAGCATGTTTGTCAGGGATTAAATAAAGAAGGGAAATGTGAAGTTTCTCATTTGCGGCTTATTTATTTCTTGCCTTAACTGTGTCTGTAAGAGAGACCAAAAAGTTCCTGAGTTAGTGGCTTTAATATTCTGCAAATTGTAAATTTGTCACAAAAGAAACCAGGAAAGTGCTCAAATATTGCTGCAGACTCCGTGAAAGCACAATCGATATTGTTCTGTATTAATTTTGAATTGTTTTATTGTTAACAACAAAGGTGGCAACAGAAAAAGAAAGTGGTATTCCGTAACTATCTGATAATTAAATTAGTTCTTGTTCATCTGCAATAAGAAAATTTGCGTTTTGAGAAAAAACAAAATTGTTTCTCTTCCATTTCTTCATCAGATATTTAACTTTCTTTCATTTATCCCCCAAACCAAGCTCATCTTCTGTGTGTTTTGGAGAAAACAATAGTTTCATGTTACATTCCTTTGCGAGGAAAACAAAAGTATCAACTTACAAAGTTGGCGCGAAGAGCTAAATTGTCAGATTTGTTCAACGTATTATTGAATTTAAAATGAACAAAAATCATTGTAAAACACCAGAGTAAAATTTAAAAGCTGTCGCGACAAACAGTAATTGTATGTAATTTTCAGACCTTGAATGAAAATACAACCTTGAAACATACTCACTGCTAAGGGGAAAAGCCCTAGCAGACTACCAAGGTAGATTCAAATCGGAAGTGAACCAAGCAGGGGTGAGTACTTATGGGACTACCGTGCCTGAGCTACCAATTGCAGTCTGCACTATTTGAGATTGTCTCACTAGTTTAAATTCATTATTGGTAATTTCTTTGTTTTGTTTTGTTTTGTTTTGGTGTTTACAATTGTAAATATGAGGGGGAATGCGAACCAAATTTTTAAAATTATCCTAAATGCATAAATTACACCTACACAAAATTAATGTTCGGTAATTTCATTGAATGTAAGAGGTCTCAGAGGTACGGTTAAGAGAAGGAGCATTTTTACGTATTTGAAAGATCAGGAAGCCAATGTTTATTTTCTGCAAGAAACATTTTCCAAAGTAAGTGACGAAGCCATTTGGAGAAATGATTGGGGATGTGAAATTTACTTTTCTCATGGGACTTCTCAGAGCAAAGGTGTTTGTATCTTGATTAATCGAGCAGTAAAAGAAAAAGTGACCTCATCCAGTGACGCGGACAGTAGAATAATCTTAATCAATCTCACTAACAACGGTCTAAAATTGTCATTTTGTAATATATATGCGCCCAACGACCACACACAACAAGTAAGTTTCATTCAACAACTAAATGAACAAATCGGAAATTACAACTCTTGTCGACATACAAAGAACTCGTTATCTGAATGTCAACAAGTTCTCCCACAGGTGTAAAACGTTAGGTGTGAAATCAAGGATAGACTTCTTTTTAATATCCAAGCACTTGGCAAAATTTGTTAAAAAAGTGGACATCCAAACCTCAATAGCACCATATCACAATACGATATTATTATCATTGTTGTGGCTGAACGAGAATCCTTGAGGACCGGGTTTTTGGAAATACACAACCAAAATTCCAGAATTATATCCTCAGCTTTGTAAAAAATATCATTATGTAAAAGACCAATAGCTGGTTTGGGAACTGATTAAAATGGAAATAAGAAGCACAACCATTTCGTTCTCTAAAGGAAAAGTACAGGCGATTCTTAAGCATGAAGTGGAGATCAAACAACAACTTGATGAGCTGGATAAAATAATCTGCAATAGCCAGAACCTTGATAACATTGACGGAAGTCTTAAACAATATGATGACCTCAAAAAGGAACTCCAACATCAATATGATAATAAAGGCAAAACTGCAATCTTCAGATGTAAATGCCACTGGGTAGAAGAGGGCGAAAAAGCCACAAAATCACCTCGTACAGGCCTGAAAAGATGGGAAAGAGATATTTCAATAGACAAAGAGAACTGGACCAATTTTTTTTCAATGGCTTCAAAAACATGCAAAGAAAATAAGTTGAAAGAATTTCAATTCAAATTTATTCATAGGATTGTCATTACAAAGAAAGAANCAAAGTTATTACACCTTTTGCTGTTCATTTACAGAAAATATCCATTCATTTGAGTCCAAATTTGTTTCATTATGGTCAATATACTCTCATTAACACCAACATGACCTTCATTTGTGCGTAAGGAACGTTCAAGAATAACACTTGCATATGTATTAACATTCAAAATCATCAAAAGATAGATGATACCTTCCTTTGACATTCATTGGCTGAAAATGTATTTTCATTTTTTTTCGAAAAAACATTCATTGTCACAAAAGGACAATCATGTACACTTTTGGACAATCCTTTTTCAACAAAAGACTTTCAATAACACAATTTGCATGAGCACTCACAATCAATTGCATTGTTATACAACCATATCCATGAAGGTGACAATCTTAAGTGCAGTGAYACAAACATTACAGCCATAATAACATTTATTTTTGGAAGAGATAATATCAAATTTGCTGAACAATAAATATTTATCCCTCAATTYCTTCACTATTGAGGCATCATGGCAAAATTAATATGTTTGCATGAAARGATACCATTGTCCATTAATTTAGGCCCTGATTATCCTTTCGCTTTGTTCAAATGGGATTCTATTTCTTCGTGGCATTTGTGGGGAAATCTAACTGTCACTTTATCACATGTATACTGTAGTGCGCCCTCGGAGTTGTACGCAAAAG